TGGGTCATCGTTAATCTTTTCATTTTTGTATTTGTCGACAAAAAAACAATACTTTTGTTATGTATTATTGTTGTTAAAAACAACGTATTGGTTCACTTACACAATACGTCAAACGTCTGATTGACTGACTTTTGGTAGCTGTTGACCGGATGTCTGGACACACAGATACATACTAGACCAGTATACGTCTTATTCAGAGAAAACTGAATACTAGAAGTGACCGTTGTGTTGTCTCTACTGTCTATTTGTGTGTTCCAAAAACTACACACACCAGACCATGTAAGTGTGGCCAGTGGTTTGCCGCCAACCTGACGACAAGTCATAGTCACATATATACCATCTGTCAGCGTCTCATTGGCTGGGTCTCTGGTCAGGCTCGGGTCAGTCTGTGGCGCCCCTGTGGTCAATAGATATAACGTTTGCGTTAAAAGATTTATCCAGCGTTTTGCAATGTTATTTTATTTGATTACTACAAAATACACTTGATTCGCATATATTGAAAGCACATTACATTATTATTATACCAATTGGCAAATAAACCAAATTTTCAAAATCGAAAAAATAAACAGCTCATGAATCACTTTAAAGGTCTCGTACGTTTATCTGTAATTTACACTGAATTATATCAATAAAATCCTAAAAAATCAAAGTTACTTTTCATGATGAAATATAAAAATGGTGTGGACGGTTATTTTAAATCTTTAAAAATATTTAATATTCTCAACCACAAATATATAAATATAGAAAACAACAAGAGAATACCTAAATGTCAACAAAAACATAATTCAAAAAAAAAATGGATAAAAATAGGGCAAATAAGAGCAAAGGAAGGATTCAGTGGAGACCATTGAAAAAGAAAAAGATAATTTAAGAAGGTGTTTTCGAAGGTTTTTGTGGAACTTCTGAAATGAGCATAAGATGACTCTCAAATCGATGTTTTCAGAATGTATTACACATAAAGTTCTCACTTAATCATTGCATTTTACATATAAATAACTTTCTTGTTTCAAAAAATTTAGTTTTCATAAAATGTGTGTTTAGAATATCTGTTTTTATCATATATACTACGTTTCACAAAACGATTTAACTTGTGACCACTAAATCTGATAATTTAAACATGAAAACTTACACTGTATAATGATGTTGGAGGTTTGAGAGCTGATTGGTATCCTTCCCTCGATGTTCACAGCCTCACACTTTAGTCCACTGTCAGTGTCACCAACACTCCCTGTGATGGTCAGACTCTGCTGTCTTGTATACATATCGTTGCTTGCGTCTTGATCAATAGCTGTACCGGCCTGATCCGTGATGTTTTTATCTCCCCTGAACCAAGCAATTTTGGCAACAGGTCGACTGGCAGAGGTGGAACACAAGAAATTTCGGTTATTTCCAGCGGTTATCATCACACTAGGGTCGTACAGTCCTGCTGTTGTCATTGTTACCGTAGATACTGGCACTGTCATTAAAAGTAATGTTAATCACAGGTAGAACGAAATTTAAAACAATTTATATACACAAATAAAAGCGATGTGATTAAAGATGTAGAGGTTGTTAAGTAATCGATCCTCTTCCTTTGTATTTTTTCTGTCGTTTACTCTGCTTGCATTCGTAGCCCATTTAGAATAGGTATGTCTAAACATTTACAGTATTGGTCACTGTACTCACTTTGTAGCATTAAGTTGATAGTTTGGTTTGGCTTTAATTTGTTAAACGTCATATTAACAGCTTATGTCATTTAAGAACGTGCCTCCATGTGTGTGTTTTATAAACGTGCATGTGTGTATGTGTGCCGGTAACAGGGCATAATGGTGTACTTGCCTCATTGTGATAGTGCGGATCTGATGCCGACGACTTTCACTGAAATACTATGCCAAAGGCACCCAACACTGCATACCGCCGGTCACATTATACTGACAACGAATGAGCCAGTTGTTGTAATTTCCCTAAATGCTGAACGTTAAGCAGGAAATAACAACTACCATTTCTAAGGACTTTAGTATGCATACATGTAGTTAGAGGTGGAGAGAAATATAAAAATCCTTACTATTGCAATGTGTGCAGCAAATTTATTTTGGTTGCTTTTGTGTCCCGAAAAAGAGGGCACCAAAGCAAATGCCCAATTATGCAGGGGGTTTCCACATTAGTCACTTCTCTACGACACATGCAGTGGGTAACAGCAGCTGTATTCTCGTCTCGATTCCCGGCGTGCAGTGGTGTAGTTGAACAACGGCTGTTCAATTGAGGAATCTGAATATGTATGTATATGTATCATTGTATTGTCAAGTTTACGGCATGTTTTAAATTAGATTGCGAACCAGCATTATTTAGTAATTGCATGGGAATAAAATTGTTCGGGTTTGACGTATGAAGTAAATAAGTTCAAACTTAGAAATCCTTTCCGCTTGAAAGCTTATCACACTTATGTCAACAAACACAATAGTCAAGAAGGTATCTTACGTGTCAAAGTGAATACAAGAACCTAAACGCGTTTATTAACTATCTGTAACAGTAACCTTGACTCTTGGTTCGATATAATGAAAGCAGTTTCGGGAAGGACCTGTGTAAGAAGATTGAGTGAGATTGAATCTGGACGAAATGAGTTAGCATATGGAATCTTGCTTTCTATTTGTTAAACGAGACTTTGCGCCTTTTGCTTTATAGGAACATAATATAAGTTATAGCGATTTAGTACAAACGAATCAAGGCGAACTGATGTATTTGACAACACCATCCCCAACGACACTGGTCGGGGCGTGGTGGTAAGGGGGAATTTCTAGTTTGAATATCGCTTGTGTATTCCTTTTTTGTTTTAGTTTCATTTCATGGTAAATACGTTTCGGTTACTTTCTTCATGACTTTAGCTATGCCAAAACAGTTGATGCCTGTGATCCTGAATCTGTTCAACGCCATTTGTTAAAGGTCTATAAGATTCGGTCCTGACAAGCTTTTTTTTTTTTTTTTTTTTTTAAAAAAAATATATTTTCAAAATTTTATGACATAAACATATATATAAATATACATACAATGTACATGAGCGTCTAGAATCGCCTTTAAATAATGTATACACTGTTCAAAATATTCTATCAAGTGTCAGTATTCGTCTTACATTATATATCAACAAATAAGTAAAGATTCACATTCTGATATAAAAAATAAACTTCCGGATATTCTTGTCCGTACTCTATTCTAATTAAAATTGTATTATAATCCAGTGTCTGATTTCCGGTTAGAGTCACGATTGTGAACAGACTTCGATTCACACAAACGTTATTATATGGTAAATATTAGTATATGAAATGCTTCGTATGGTATAACATCATCCAATTCAGCGAATTAAAGTGCCATGTTAGCGTTATAGTTCTAGAGTAGTCAGGGTATAATCTATTAAACAAAAACATTTTCTTTTTTTTTTTTTTTTTCTTAAAATTTTTTTTTTTTTTTTTGTGTCCTGACAAGCTGATGATGTTTTTGAGAAGAGATTCAGAGAGAAGTTTACTGTAAATGACTACAGACGGCAACGAATTTCATTAGCGTCCTTGAAGCTTTGCACCAGGTGATCTTAAAAATACAATGGAATAATCTAGTGTTCCGGTGGGACAGGAACCCTGAAATAAGTATAGTAAGAACATGCCTTGCTGTAGACGAGCAATGCAGGAATATTGTCATTTGATTCAGCACCATACATTTTCCAAAGCCAACGAGTAACAACTGAACAATATGATTTCCGACTACCCTAAATTACCATGCATATATATTGGTTATACATGAACTGTTTTTAATGAACGTTCACAGAGGAGAGCTGCCTTTACGTACACTAAAACAACTTTAGTTTACTCGCTGATGTCTTTCACTGCCTTCATGCATATTTTCATCTAAGAAGTATCCTCATTTAGCTGAGTACAATTCAGACAACGTATAGGTGTGTACCACGTCAAAAAGAAACATGCATCATTACCTCGTTTTTCATATTATGCTTTATGCGCTCAGGAAATTTTAAAAGAACAATACTCAGAGTATTGCTTGCTGCACCGAAGAATATTTCACATCTCCAGTCTGTCCCGTGCTCGTGCTCTGTGACGTAAGCTACTGGGATGGTGAGTGACATCTCACGCACAGATGAGGAATCACAGGTAAAGGTGTATTTCTGTCCTCCTTGTGTTGTTACTGAGGTACATGAAGAACTGTTAAAATTAAACTCTACTACTAGGAATGTGTTCCTCCTGAAATACACTGTTGTGTTAGCAATAAAGTCCTGACTGGCTGTACATGTTAACGTAACTTCCTGTCCAATCACGAGAGATAGTGGCGTTACTGACAACGACATGGTCTGGGCTACAATAATCGTAAGATAACTATGAAACATTTGTTTTCACTTGATGAATCATTAAAACGTGTTGGTAATGTGACATGGCATGGAAAATCCTAAGCTCATGTCGTTGTAAACCTCTACTTTTCCTCAGTAAACGATATAAACTTAGTCGCTATAAACATTTGGGTGTAATGATATAACGTACAATTGCAATACAGGATATGAATCGTATTAATCAGCGACGTGTATTTGTTTCATACATTACTCGTTTTGAAAAATTCTATATGTCAATCGTTGAAATATAGAGAATAATACATGCCTTTTTCCATATCACACCCAGTATCAATCCGAGACTGCTATATCAGCCCAAGGGCCGAGGCCCGATAGCTAATATTGGTCGAGGGTTGACACTGGGTGTGATATGGAAAAAGGCATGTTTTATTCTGTTTATTACATACATGTACTTACTAATAAAAGCTACTATCTGATGTTCTATTTTTCTTTTTAAATATTGAAAAACGCAAAAAATCTAAAAGGGGTGTGATACGGGTTTTGCGTGCTGATACGGAGAGGGCTGATACGGGTTTTGGGGTGTGATATGGCGAGGGCTGATATGGGTTAATTAAATTGTGTCGTATCGCATATACACAAAAAAACGTATGTATTAGTAAGTATGTAATAAAACAGTTTAAAGACATCACGTGGATTGTGCTTGTGCACATTTCTTACCATGATCGACTATGCGCTTAAATAGTGTTTTAAATTACTCAGTCTATTTCAAACGTTTGTTTGTGTTGTATTGTTTTACGGCCCATCGGCAATGTGAGACATTAAGGGTGAAAGCGACATTCACAAAAATGAACACATCAAACTGAAATTAAATATATTAAAATATGTAAAGAATTTTGAAACACGTCATACAGTAAAAAAGAATTTTGAAACACGGCAACAGTAAACGAGTTGGCTGCAAAATATGTCACATTTTGTTTTAACGATCAATTGAGTGTAAATAGATAAAGCGTCTGAATGAACTGAATGATACCAAGTGTAAACAACATGGAGGGTGATCAAACCAGCTTAAGTGTTGTTCAAAACAAACAAAATATTGCAACATTCAGTATCAGTTTTCATTGAACGAAGGGATTGCTATAATTTTTGAAAACATTTCTATTTTTAAGCGTTGCAATTTGAATGGTTGGTGAAAGCAGGACAACCTAGATCGTGTTGACCTTCAGATATCACAATCTCCTTGTGTAACCTTTGAATTGGGGGTTATGTTAAGTGCATATTCGAATTATTCTTGTCAGCTGTTTAGTTGGTTAGCCATTGCCTTATACGACTAGGTCTGAATATAACTTTAACATGCCATACTTGGTGAAGTTGATGATCCATTGTATGTTGACCAGTTAAGACAAGTAAGTCCATCCCATGGTATGTATGACTTTGTGATTTTGGTCATTTTTATACTCACTCTAATAATTTGAATATCATTATAAAATGATGGAGTTTGTCCCCTCCCTGGTGGGGTCTTGTATACAAAAGTAATGTGAATAAATAGTTTTTGACACTCAACATATTGTTATATGATGAAATACTTGTGGCATGCAATTGTATAGGTTGATCCCTGTGGGTCAATTCATAATTAATTTCGTAAACTTTGCATAAGCCTATATAGTGTCCATCCAGTTATACTTAATTCCCCTGTTTATAGGGAAGATTGTTTCAGTATTTTGTAAACTTGACATATTCCTAGTGTCGGGAAATAAAAGCATGTCATGTTACATTTAGTTCCCCTTCAATCATGAAGGAAGAATGTTTCAGTATTTTGNTAGGTTGTAAATATCATATCCTCTACTTTTTTCCGAAGTTTATTTAAACGACGGAAGCACAGTCTCCTCGCATTATTGCATACACTTTGAAGTGGTGTTTTCATGACTATGGCGACTCATTTCTCAATATCATAGAAAACTAAAAAAGATCATGATAAAATTTCTTTGAAAAAATCTTGACTTAAAATATATATATATATTTTTTAATGTTTTTTAATGTTTTTATTATATTTTCCAAATATTCTAAACATATATATATATATATACATATAATATACATGGGCGTCTAGAATCGCCTTAAAAAATGTACATACTGATCAAAATATTCGATCACGTACATGTATCAGTAATCGTCATACATATATATTAACAAATAAGTATAAATTCACATTTTTGATATAAAAGATAAAATTCCGGATATTCTTGTCCTTACTCTATTCTAATTATTATTGTTTTACAATCTAGTTATGATTTTCGGTTAGAGTCATGATGGTGAACAAACGTTATTATATGGTAAATATTAGTATATGTAATACTTCGTATGGTATAACATCATCCAATTCAGCGAATCAAATATATAATTAACCGACTTGGGTTCTTATCGCTCTAGATATTCTGCGTGGCATATTTACGGGCAAATTATGGACTTATTGTGCTCCGTGAACCGCAAAATGTAACCAAAAGTACGAAAAGTGTTTGCGCTGTAACCGTACGATTCAGTAATGGACAATTTGATTGGAGATCAATTTACACGCTCACGTTACCGGTTAAGATAAAGCACGTGTATCATAACTACAGGTAATAATAATAAATAAACAAAGGCAATCTACATTGTACCATGTAATTGTATGAGGCAAGGCGGTTTCTGGAGACTGTCACGTACCTGCAACTTTAAGTGTGTAGTCAGGGCTCTCTACCACCCTGTCATGTTCAGGTAGACGTGGGTTTGAACGACGACAAAACCACGTAGATCCATGGTCTTTTGTCTGTGGCTGTATGACCCACTGGAACACTGTACCATAGTTAGACAAGGTGGCAGTACAGGAGCAGACATCCGGGCTACAGATGACGGGAGTAGTAGTAGCAGTGTTATAACATTGACCGCCAGCTACTTGTATGCTTCCTAGTAAAGCAGTCACGTCAGGACGACGGTACAGCTGGACACTGTTTGCCTCATCCGGTACGGTACACGTCAGGATAAACTCAATCCCGGAGAGAGCGTACTCTGACGACCCAGTCAATGTTGCAGCATCTGTTTTACAGGTCAAACTATTCATATTTTTAAAACACCATATACGGAAAATATTTGGTTTGTGTTTAACGTCTTATCATTTAAGGACAGGCCATGTTTTGGTGATTGAGTACCCAGAGAGAAAAAAGCACCGACCTGCGTCAAGTACCTGGCGACATCTAAACATAGACCTCGAACCCACGACCCAATAGTGGAGGGCTAATGATAGTAAATCGTCAGATGACTTAACTACACAGCCAACGTGGCCCTTTATTAATTAGTATGCTACATGACTGCACTCATGTGCTGCTGTAAAATAAGATATTTGACTTGGGCTCAAATTCATTGGGTTTTTTTCGAAACAGGAAAAACAAATGTGGGAACATGAACAAGATAACCCATGAAATAAACCATGAAATAAAAGAGGAATAAGAAAGCAGTTTTAGAAAGGGTTAACTAATGCATCGCACGTAACTTGCAGAATGATGTTCATGTTGTTACTTTTATAAAGACGATTGCTTACGGCACGATGTTGAAAATGGTCAAATTCTTATCCATAGTCTTTCTGAAACTGTTCAGGAAGACAATGAACGTTGAAAAAAACAATCACTGATTAAATTGTTTTGTTTTGTACGTGTGGCTCCTATATTTTTTTAAGACAACAAATACGGAAAATGCCATTGACAAAGAGGACCTCCCAATAAAGGATAAAGAATTTACAGTTATCACTCTGACTGGTATGCAATAATTCTAAGTATTGGTAATCAATAACTGTGTATATTTGTCAAACGGCTACGATGTGAAGTATTCTACTAACATCAATATCAGAGTATTAACCTGATCGACTTAAAAGAAAGAAATTGGCCACGAGCTATAATGGCAAGCTATCTGAGCATTTATTTAAGAAGAAGTGTTCCTTCTCTATTTCATAATATAATATGGTATATCTTATTTAATATGATATATATATATCATTCAAGCTAAGAAAGATCTTTATATTTTTCATAATATTTTAGCTATTTTTTCTTCCTGAAATATTTCATATATTCTTTAATCATCTTGTGCAGACAATTATTTGTATTATCTTTTAAACAACGTTGCTGTATTTAAATTCATTTTTTAACATTTGCACAGGTATCAGCTGTGTGTCAAATCGAACGAAATATTTCGTATTCTCGTTTATGATGTATAAACTGTTTCCATTGTCAAATATAGCATATCAATAACTACTCCCCTCAAAATTTAACACGAATTACGAATTATTGATAAATAGTTTTGATTGCGTGGGGGATAGATATTCACAGATTAAGTGATTTAAGTACGTGATTCTACGTGTGTTGTATATGCCTGCATGTGTGTATGTGTAGCATGTTTAGCATATATGTACTTAAGGCATTGTGCCATTTTAATTGACGTACCGGCAAATTTACACAATTAATTTGTTCATTCTGTGATAATTTTTAAACTTGTATTAAGCAATATTGTATATCATAGATGATAAACTTTAACCTAATTTCAACTCTTGTACATTCTGTGATATCCTTATAGCTGATACTAAACATTTAATTCTATAACGATATTATGTTGCAATATTTAAGTATTTGTGATATTTGTAATTATGATTTTGTACTAACCACTTATATGATTTACTAACAATGAGGACCATGTGGTAGATTAGCCTTTGGCTAAACATGTCATCCTCGTTAAATAAAGTTGGTTTTTTTATTATTATTATGTGTACCGGATACCGAGAAAGTTGGTGTATTTGCCTCCTTATTAATTAAATGTACGTGTTGTCTGCACTGCCAATTATATTTTCTTGCTATCCCCATATTCCTAGTCTGTTCTGAATGTCCAGTTTAACTACTCTCATTGCAAAATTTCTAAATGGGACCAAAGAGAGGGACTGTCGGGAAACTTCTTACCGCACAATGAAACCAAGGAATATGAATATGATAAGTCCGTGTTAAAACATATTGAATCACCTTAGCAGTAATTATTCATCTTAAGTTAATTGCACACAAGGTAATATTCACATTAAGAATTTGTTGAAATCTCAGCATTATTTATAGACACTAGGAAATATATATTACCGGAATGATTCCGGTATTAATAGGTACGGGACTAAACACCTTCCCCCAACCATTGGACAAACCTACTTAAAAGGAATACTCACGGGACAAAAACATCTTTCAAATGTTTTCATAAAGCGCATCGATGTATTTCTTATTACAACTCATTGACTTCGACTTCTTCATTCAAGACCATGCAGTACATCTGTATATGTTCATATCTACTCGCTTTCCTACTTTCAATGTCTTCACACCCTTTAACGCTTACTAAGTTATACTAGTCATCAAACACAATAAACATTTCTGGCAAAGCTAGTTTATCTACAGACAGAATATGTTTCAGATATGGAACGTGTTATATGTTTTCAAATATTTACACAGAGATGTTAACACAGTTGAAAAAGGAACACTTTTTCTGATGAGATTACTTTTTGCAATTTTTTTATTCTCTTATAATAAGACATTTACTTTTTTAACACAACTGCATACATAAGAGACAATGATTTTTTTTTATATTAAGGACACAGGACATGCATGCTTTTTTAGAAATAGATGCAGTACCGGTCCCATCCAGGTAATACATATTGTTCTCGTCTCTAGTTTTTGAAAATATAATATGAATAAAAGTATGTCCATGTATGGGGTATAAGCGCCAATACAACGCAAACAAATATGTTTTTTCCCGTTTTCAATACGTATTCCGATGCTATTTGCATTCGTAAATTTATAGTGGTCGGGCAGGTAACCCCATACATTGTCACGCCGGCTCGGTGTATCGAACCCCATCCGCCTTGGTGGAATGCAAGCGAGTGATCTACCAAGCAGTCCGACCACCCTAGTGTATCAACATATAGGTATGCAAAATATACTGATTTTACCCCGTCGCATTTAACCATTTTACTCCCATGTAACATTAGTAGACTGTACCATACATTGGTATGGATGAGTCAATTATGGTCTACATGGATGAACGGTTAACGCTGGATCAGAACCAGGTTGTTTACATATCTAATAATATATTTTCAGGCAGGAATCCACCCTCATTATAAACATATAGTTCAAACTGTAAATGTTTACACTGACAATCGTTTATGTTTACGACACAAAGTTTATATAGTTACAAATACAGTACAATCGTTACTAACCTGTTGATGAGTGGATTGTCAGTAGTAAGATCAATATCTTCATTTTACAGGGAGATACCCATGCATGCAGCTTACGTCGATACATGTCAGACATGTTTCTTAACATATGTATGTGTGTTCCGTACTGTTGTATATAAACTTCCTGGTCTGTGTAACCCTTTACTTGTAGTTATAAATACTATGTAGTAAATATACCGGGTCAATGTATGTGTAACCGGCCGCTTTTACCTGAGCTTAAAATACAAAAAAAGATAAGGGTTTCCACCTATACGTCATGTGTACAATATGTAAACTGACTAGTATGTTATTGGTGCGCTTGTTAGTAGTATTTTGGGGGCAGAACTATCTATTACAATTTGTGGATATGTAGGGGCAGAACTATCTATTACAATTTGTGGATATTTAGGGGCAGAACTATCTATTNATAGATAATCTTGGGCCATAACTATCTTATACAATGTGTGGATATTTTTGGGGCAGAACTATCTATTACAATTTATAGATATTTTGGGGCCAGAACTATCTTATACAATTTATAGATAAATTCTTTTGACTAGAACTATATAAAACAATCTAAAAACATTAACGGGCCAGAACTATCTAATACAATTTATAGATATTTTGGAGCCAGAACTATTTAATACAATTTATAGATAAATTCTTTGGACTAGAACTATATAAAACAATCTATAGACATTTACGGGCCAGAACTATCTAATACAATTTTTGAAAAAAAATAAGTTAATCTTTGAGAAATTTTAAAAGTAATAAACCAGGTGCTTTTAGCAATACTCAATTATTTTATACTGAGGAATAACTAATTCACAGAGAACTATTATTTGTTATCAAATATTTCCACATTAGTTTATTGAACAATGTTGTGTATACCCAAACAACGATATTTGGAAGTGGATTGGTTGTAATTAGCTTGCATGTCCCTCTTGCGTCGCTGCTCTGGGTCTGATTTCGTGTATATGGAGATGCAGGTATATATGTATTTTTTGTGTATCCTGAGGTTAAGTTGAAAACCTGGGTGTGAGAGCCTTCATGTGAGTACATCGTTGTAACGTGGTAAAAATGGTTCGGCAAAAATGATATATGCCTGCAAAACCCTTTATTAGATTACGAAATTTATAACGATCTCTAGAAAGTGCTTATCTTATAATTTAATTTGGTTATGACATTAATTTGAATGATTATGCTTCTTGAACACTTTTCAGTCTAATTACAAATGATGCATTTATCAATACACTGACTGGGAGAATAAATCAACCTAGGGAAATCTTGACGATAATACGGTTTTTTAGTAATTTTACATAAATGATATGATGCGTCGGTGGTAATTTATTTACTTTGATACGACACCATAAGCTTACGCACATGAAGAGGTTGGGATGTAAAAGACACCAAGCTTAAATAACCGTTTGAAATGCTCCACTGAAACATGAAACACTGTATGTGTACTCATACATTCAATACACATGTAACTAAAGTCACATGTAGCACAAGACCTATATACTCACCCTGCACTCGATCTATACGACAACATAACACTTGACTGTCCAACCATCTCCTTGTGTCACAAGGAAATTAATAACTTCCTCTCAACTTAGGTATTTAAGTGTCGATGTCAAATGCTCAACTGTAATGTAGGAGGAAAACTGACAACGGCTACATACGAACATATCCTATGTTACATTTTGACACTGTTTTACCTGCTAACATTATTTCCGTAATTTGGCCATAAGATGGAGTAGGTTTATAAACCTTTCATGTGAGAAAGTGATAATCACCGCGACAAACACAAAACTTTAATGAAGCGATCAAG